AGTTTGGGGTTTGTCTATTTACAGAGCCTGGGCGGCAGAGTGAGACTCCGTCTCAAAAAAAAAAAAAAAAAATACAGCCACTGCCACCCAGGGACAGCCATGGCACAATGCACCAAGGAGTGTCCACTTACACGTGGGTGCACACACAGGCATGACACTCCCATGTGTGTGCACAAACATGCTCATACCGCCACATGTGCACACGTGAGGCACACTCACAGACAAGCCACCTTCACAAATCTACACTCAAACCATACACCAACCACGCACCCCCTCCGTACTCCCTCAGGGCACGCACCTGCCCAGCACCCTGGGGCTTGCACCTCCTTTTCTGGGCCTCAGCCCCATGATGCTCGGGGTAGCAGACTCACTGTGGGTCTGTGAAGGACGCCCCCTCAGGCCCACCAAGCCCCAAGAGATTGGGGAGGAGGCGAGTCTCTGCCCACTGGGCTCCCAGACAAACGCCTCATCTCCTAGGAAGGCTAGAGATGACCTCAGGCCTCAGGCTGACTGAGCCAGGGCTGGGCCCCGCCATGTCCCTGACTGCTCTGTCCTTGCAGGTTTGGGGATGACATCCCTGGAATGGAAGGCCTGGGAACAGGTACGACGGCTGCCAGTGCCAACCTGAGGTCTGCCCAGGTCCCCCCAGGCACACCGAGCACGCCCAGGGCCCAGTGCAGCCCACCTCGGCCCCCACCTCCCCTGCTTTTCACTTAGAGACCCCCAGCCTGTCCATCACTTCTTCCCCCAACACTGAGCTCCAGATCCACTGGATCTGGAAGGTGAGGCTGTTCCCATTTGGGACACTTGCACCAGGTGAGGGGAGGGGTCTGGGAAAGAACAGAACCCCTTGCTGCCTCCTCCCCCTTCAGCAAGCCCCACCCTCCTCTGGTTCCCTCCCCTGGACCTGCCGCACCCTCCTTCCCCTACAGCCAGTGTGTCCCCAGAGGAGGGCCCCACGCCAGGGTCTGCACGCCCCCACTCAGCACACCGTAGGGCTACACCTGGGCTGTGGGAAACAGGGCCACAGGGGTGGGGGTCCCTGGGCCATGGGATCCTCTCTGATCCAGCCCCTTTCTCCCACAGACATCACGGTCATCTGCCCTTGGGAGGCCTTCAACCACCTGGAGCTGCACGAGCTGGCCCAATATGGCATCATCTAGCACCAGGCCCTGCTGAGGTCCAGACCCTCCCCCTCCTGCCCTCTCTGCTCTAAACCCTGCTCAGGATTCCTGTTGAGAAGTCCCCCTAGCCCAGATGGCACCTGGACACCAGTGTGGGATTGTGTCCTCAGGTCCCCCCCTACATATTAATACCAGTCACCAGGAGCCCACCACCTCCCTCCAGGACGCCCCCTCAGGGGCTGGCCAGGCCCTGCTCAACACTGGGCCCACCCCTCAGTCCTGCCCGCAGAGAGGCTTGGCGAGTCTCCCCTCCCAGGGAGAACGGGAAGTGGACCCCAGCCCGGGAGCCTGCTGGACCCCAGGTCATCCCCTCCTCCCAGCTGGAAAGCCAGGGTGTCCCCAGAGTGCCTCTGCACCCCAGCCCCCTGTCCTGCCTCTATGGGGGTGCAGAGAAGCTCCCTCTCTCTGCATCCCTTCCCAGGTGGGTGCCCTTGGTTTGGAAACGCTGGGTAGCAGGACTCCAGGTGTGTACAGTGAGCAGATGAGGCCCCACGCTCATCACGCCAGGGGGCCATCCTTCTCAATACAGCCCGCCCTTGCAGTCCCTATTTCAAAATAAAATTAGTGTGCCCTCGCCTGTCTGTGGCATATTTGTGCATGGGACAGGGCCTGTCGTGGGGTCACTTGAGCAGGAGCACGTGGGTGAAGGAGTGGGCAGTGGGCAGTGGGGCAGGAGAGGCTGGCCTGACTGAGCGGGAAGGCAGCCCTTGGGCTCACACCCTCACTGAGCCTTGCTGGTGGCCCTGAGACACGCAATGTCAGGCCATGGCTGGGTCAAGGCAGAAGGCCTTGATGCACATCCAGGGACCATAGTCAATGAAGCATGCACGTGGCTGGAGCAGGCCTCACAGAGAAGGTGAGATGGGACATGGCTCATGCCACACGCTGTGAGCCTGGAGCTCCTACTCCCACCTCACAAGAAAGAAACTGAGGCACAGTGACACTGGCAACTCCCCCAGAGCACCCAGCCAGCTTGTCCTTAGACAGTGCCCACTAAAACTGGCTGTAGCTGGGCATAGTGGCTCATGCCTATAATCTCAGCACTTTAGGAGACCAAGGCGGGAGGATCACTGCAGCCCAGGAGTTCAAGACCAGCCTGGGCAACATAGCGAGACCCTGTCTATATTTGAAAATAACAATAATGAGGCTGGGCACTGTGGCTCACATCTGTAATCCCAGCACTTTGGGGAGGCCAAAGTGGGCAGATCATTTGAGCTCAGGAGTTCAAGACCAGCCTGACCAACACGGAGGAACCATCTCTACTAAAAATACAAATTAGCCGGGCATGGTGGCTCATGCCTGTAATCCCAGCTACTTGGGATGCTAAGGCAGGAGAATCGCTTGAACTGGGAGGCAGAGGGTGTGGTGAGCCAAGATCACACCATTGCACTTCAGCCTGGGCAACAAGAGCAAAACTCCATCTCAAAAAAAAAAAAAAAAA